GAGTTTAGAACACCATGGCATTACAATAACACTCGCTTACTCAAGCTAAAACATATCAGACATATTAACCATTAATTTTCCTCTGTGCGCAAGTGATTTGATAATACATTGGTGTCTAACTCACAGAATCACGGCGTGCCACCTAGTGTTTCTGTTGCTTTAAAAATTGCACTTAGGAGTTTAAATCACCATGGCATTACAATAACACTCGCTTACTCAAGCTAAAACATATTAACCTTTATATTTCCACTTGGTGCGCAAGTGATTTCATAATGCCGTGGTGTCTGATTCACAGAATCACGGGCGTGCCACCTAGTGTTTCTGTTGCTTTAAAAATTGCACTTAGGAGTTTAGATCACCATGGTATCACAATAACACTCGTTTACTCGAGCTGAAATATATTAACGATTAATTTTTCTGTGTGCCCAAGTGATTTCATAATACCGTGGTGTCTAACCCACGGAATCACGGGCGTGCCACCTAGTGTTCTGTTGCTTTAAAAATTGCACTTAGGAGTTTAGAACGCCATGGCATTACAATAACACTCGTTTACTCCAGCTGAAACATATTAACGATTAATTTTCCTCTGTGTGCAAGTGATTTGATAATACATTGGTGTCTAACTCACAGAATCACGGCGTGCCACCTAGTGTTTCTGTTGCTTTAAAAATTGCACTTAGGAATTTAGAATAACATCACGGCATTACTATAACACTCGCTTACTCAAGCTAAAACATATTAACCGTTATATTGCCACCTGATTCGCAAGTGATTTCATAATGCCGTGTTGTCTGATTCACAGAATCACGGGCGTGCCACGTAGTGTTTCTGTTGCTTTAAAAATTGCACTTAGGAGTTAAGATCACCATGGCAAAACAATAAGACTAGCTTTCTCAAGCTAAAACATATCATACATATTAACCATTAATTTTCCTCTGTGCGCAAGTGATTTGATAAAACAGTGGTGTCGAACTCACAGAATCACGGGCGTGCCACCTAGTGTTGCTTTAAAAATCTCACTTAGGAGTTTAGAACGCCATGGCATTACAATAACACTCGCTTACTCAAGCTAAAACATATTCACCTTCATATTTCCACTTGGTGCGCAAGTGATTTCATAATGCCGTGGTGTCTGATTCACAGAATCACGGGCGTGCCACCTAGTGTTTCTGTTGCTTTAAAAATCTCACTTAGGAGTTTAGAACACCATGGCATTACAATAACACTCGCTTACTCAAGCTAAACATATTCACCTTTATATTTCCACTTGGTGCGCAAGTGATTTCATTTTCCTGCAATACATATCTTTTTCTTGACTGGATAACGAGTTAGATAGCGGCAGCGGCGAGATTTGGTAATGTTTGGCGGGCTTTGGACACGTTTTGGTGGGATGACGATTTCACTATTCGACCGAATCCATTTGATCGCTTGGTCTTTGTGTTTTCTGCCTCTACTATGACATCTTTAGGAATTTAGGCCGAGTTACTGCTAACAATAGTATTACCGCAAACCCGTCATTAAAGAACGGATTTTTTTTATGTAGCCCGTTTGCACACGCTTTACAGCATTGACAGCAGATCATGCATAATAGTCACCAAACAAATGCAGTCGGATTAGAAGATCTAACGTTTTCAACATCAAAATGCGTACCAGACTGTACTGCCTATGAATATTACCACGTAAACATTTATCGTAATATAGTTAGGTTCGAAGCATTTTCAAGGCAAAGGAAGACCGTCTTATTCTCTTAATGTCATCTAAACCTACCCAGACGCAAACACCGTCGTTTACGATCATCTGAAGAATGCAATGCTGGCTTTATTCGATCAGAGTTCAAATCATAATGTCACACTTCTTCCATATAAAGAAAAAGTCAATTATTATTTCCATGGTTTTGGTTAAATTTTTAACTATAGTGCGTTGAATGTACAAGATTCCATCAGAGAGAGGCCATAAAAGTACAAGCAAAACGCACCAGCGCGTGCGTGAACGGCGATTCACTGCGAAAACTGGAGTTTAGCAAGCTCAGGCCAAAAAATTGATTGAATCTGCACACACAAAGCCTCGGAGATTAATGATTGCAATTTTCTTTGGCATCTATCTTTCCCTTACGATGAGTAGTACTCTGTGTGTTCACAGAAGGCGTGTTATACATAATCAACATTTTGAACCAACGCGTTTATCTAACAACATTCGTCCGATTCTATTTGAGTTCCGCGACCTTTAATGCATTCAATACAATTATATGGAACTACGCTACATTTTAATACTGGCAAAGACCAGAAAGACAACGCCTGGGTCGTAGGCCACTCACGATTTTTCTGGATAAGAGAGCGGAGTAAGTGGGGTACGAATGCCGCAATACCGCATCACAATTTACCCAAATACCGAAACCGCAGTTACAAATGCGAAAAAGTTGACGTTGCCAATACTACAAATCCTCTGAATCCTCCTTTCAAATAGAAATATTACTTTTATGTCAGTGTTTCAAAATCAAGGTCCGTCGATGTTAAGCGTGCAATAAACATATGATCATCGCACTCGTTTAATTTTGTTCATTACATGTATACGTTTACGTAAATGATGCAACAGGAGTTTTCTAGTATTATGCATCAGTCAATTCCAGCTGCGCCAGCCTCCCCCCTGGGCTGACCCCCGGGCATTAGCGTGTTTTTTTTTGCTTTGGATGGCAAATTTACGGGAGTGGGGACTCTTGAGCTGACAAATCCCCCAGGATGGGTCGACACTGCGACATTTTTCATTGATCGCACAGTCGAATAATGCCGTTTTAAGCATTTGATCAGCGATCTTTTGTTTCAATTAACGTCTTCCTTTGTAATAGCGTTAAGATTCTAATGAAGACTTTACGCCCCAACAACATGCACCAGTTTATATATGGTTTTAGTATTGATATAAAACAAGAGCCATAATGGGACAATGGGGCTGGGCGCAGCTGGAATTGACTGATGCATTACTTTCACACCGTGGGAATCGTAGGGCACACAGCACACACTATACCTTAGGCTCGGACAAATTCTGCCGGCAGAATTTCGAACAGAATAAGCGATTATTGAGGGCGGCATTCTGCCGGCAGAATAAGGCTTTTTCGAGCAGAATTTGAGCAGAATAAGAATTTTTTACGAGCACTGCCGGCATGAGAATAAGCCAATTTACGAACACAATTCATCCAAGCCTAACTAGCCTGCGTAGCATAGCGGTTTGGGCGCGCTAAATAATGTAATAAAAGCGGGTGTGGGCCAGGAGACTGGGACGGGAGCTGCTTCGCTGCTCAGTCGTGCTCCCGACAAAACCACGCAAAACTGCCATGCTACGCAGGCTAAGCACACACGAATACTAGTACATTCTATATTCCTGCATGCACAACGAGAAGGACGAGTAGTAATTTTTAGACCACACCATCTTCATAGATTATCTTTCGACACTACGCAGTTTGTAACGACCTCACTATTTGTTGGAATATCTGACTGATCACTTAGTTCACCTTCTGGATCGTTCACCATTGTTTCGCGAGTGGCACGAAAGTGACTATAAGGTTGGTAAGAAGGTTAACCAAGCCAACTATTTCCTAGACTGCCAGCAGTCTCTCTTCAGTTAGTCGAGTCTAAGCTCGGCAGGACTGGAGAGAGCGAATTGGCCGAGAGGGACCTTATAAGCATTATCGGCATTGCGGGAGTAGCCTCAGTTAGAGTGGATTACTGTCCTGCATTATTTACCTAATAAGAAGACGTGAAAAAAGCAACGGTCGCGACAGCATAATTAAGAAACATCCCCGACGGAGATCATGGTGGAGTCTAGAGACGGACTTGATGGAAAACCAGCCCAGAATACCCCTTTTCCCCTCCCCCCCACCCCCGACGAAGAGGATGCTTTGAAGAGGCAACAAGTTACTCTGGCTCCTAGGCTACACAATCCCATCTACTGGAGGCCTATTTGCGACGGCTGGGTACTGGAACTTGGGTGCTCGTGGACAATGAAATAATCGATGCAAACTACATTACAAAGCATCTGCTCAATTCCGCATCCATGTTAATCAACACACGTCTAGGCTGTATCCCCAGGGGCTGATCTAGGGGGAGGGTGCAGGGGGTGCGCACCCCCCCCCCTGAGATGACCTGCGGTTTTCTAATACAACTGGTATTCTGCAAAAAAAAAAAAAATATGTGGTTTATTGGTGTTGAAGCAAAGCAAGAGACGAGTGTACCCCCTCCTAAAAAAAATCCTGGATCCGTCCCTGATCCCAGTCCGTCTGATCCGTTGCCTCACTACGCCTTGCTGTACTTCGTTGTGTATATCATTTTCTCTGCCATCTCCTCACTGCTCGGTGGGACTAACGTTGAAGGGAAACTATACATCTTTCGAAACTGTTCCCAGGGCAACAATTACTATTGGAATGACTTTAAATGTACGACAGTTCCAAATCGTTTGATCTCGTATTTGAGGCCACAGTAATTATCGACCTTCTCTCTTTCCTTGCTTACTATTCTGGAGGCGAATAGGCAGGCAACATTAATTATAATACCTGGCTTCTCTTCCTTATTTGAGAGCACAATATTGGGCTTGTTGTGTTCATGTGATGGTCTGTTTTTGGATCTTATAATAAAATCCCATAACAGTTTCCACTTTTCAGTATCACAGACTGGATCCGGTTTGTAGCAATACCAGTTTACTTCCGTTTGAAGGCCACGTACATTTCTCGCTAAATCCAGTGCGAACCTGGCCGACTTTAACTTATCGTGTCTCCATGACTTGTACTGTTTTTGTACAAGTGCTAATAGATGGCACCCTGCATTTACTCTTTCTCTACACATTCTGCATGCCGGGGAAACATTTTGATTGTCAAGAGTATCTTTACACTGTCCATTTGTTCGCAATGCCTGGTCTTGTGCGGCCATGAGTAAGGGACTGGTCAATACGTATAGGGGGAGGGAGGGGGGGATAAATGGATAATTTTAGAGCTTTTTACATTATTTGAATTTTGTAGACAAAATGAGGCTCCCAACCATACCATATCAACTACACTACTGAAAGAGGTGCAAGAAATTGAACAAATTAAAAATGATTCAACATGTACCGAGAGACGAGTTCTTGGTAAGTTAATATGGTTGTAAAGTGAAATGCTTTGTACATGTATAAGATACATTTACCATTAATGATAATACCGATCACATACTTCATTTGAACAATCCCCTGCCCCTTTTTTTCTTATTTCTCTTAGTTAAACCCTAAATTCCCTTAAATTTATTTTAGGGATAAACTATGGGGATTGTTTGTCAAGATTTTTTCTTTATTGAGCAGAAATGGCCCTACGAGCTGCAAATAACAGTCCTTAACAGTCATGGACAATGTGCAAGCATATAAGATACTTAGTAATAAACCAGGAATATCTTAATAATGGAGATGAAACTTTAACACAGTGTACTAAGTCAAGGCATAAAAAACGCAGTGAAACCTGTAAAAAGTGCAGGATCCCAAATTTAAAAACAGACACCCATCTCTATTAGATGGACACAAGCATCATTGAGCTCCACCTATTCTCCCCTTATACAGGTTTCACTGTATCATACATGCAGGGAACAAAGAAATATGATTTTGTTGAAATATCCTCACTAGCTAGTCTAGTGATGTGTACAGGGGAGAAAATAAGATAGCAAAGGAACACTTAATGATATTTTTGTCGGTTTAAATGGGTGACATGGTAGGTAATAATTCTATCAGGACAAGCAATTATCTTAGACTTGAGAAAACTCCTGTACAAAAGGTTCCAAAAATTGAACTTATGGTAATGCTCATAATAAATTATTATGCAGATTAATTGTCCTTTTTTTGTTAGATGCCATTTCGCAAAACTTGGCCTCAAGCAAGAAGCGAAAAAGACAGGAGGAGAAGGGGACATATGAGCAGTACCAACAGGAGCAGAAAAGAAGGCAAAGAATTAAGAGGGTGAGGTTCTCTGTCATGTTATTAAAAACTTTTGAATCAAAATTTTGAGTATTCAGATGGTAATTGTTTTAATTGACCAAGAAGGTATACTGTACATCCTTCGCTGTTAGGACTGGAATAGAGGGGAGTAAAGTTTGTAATATTATACGGCTTCTATTTGCAAGTGTGTGATGTGTGTTTCTTTCTATGTAATTCATTTTCCAAAAGATTAACTGATTGTTACCCTACTACAGGGTTGTCACTAAGATTTCAAGTTGCTGGGTAAATACAACAAGTAGGTGGGGAATCAAACGGCTAGGGATTTCTTTTGGTTCTATTTTTCTTCTATTTTCCAAAAAAATAAAAGTAGCCGGGGGCCACTCTCTTAGTAGCCGGGGAAAATCCCCGGCCCCCGGCTCTTAATGACAACTCTACTAGTAGTCATAAGCTGTTTCAGAGTCCTAACCGAACGCAACTACATAAGTTTGAGAGCAACAACTAACATCATTATCTCTCGCTCAGTGTTAATTTTTTACAACAGTGTTGGGGTTCAGATAATCAGTATAAAAGTAGCTTTTGAGTTGCCATGTGATGTTTTATGCCAAAAATTAGCTGAATTACTGAGTTTTTTTTTCTCTCTCTCTCTCTCTCTCTCTCTCTCCTTGTATGTAGAAGCTTGATAAAAGATTGAAAGCCGTCACTGAGGAGGAAAGGGATGGTGACCTGTTTTCAGCCCTTCATGTAAGCCATGTGTCTTCAGAGGAGTCTGACACGGAAGATAATTCCTTGAGAACCAGGCCTCTGTCTTGGAGAACAGAGAATGTGAACAACTTTTTTAAACTTTTGGATGGAAGAGCAAAGGTAGCAATGACCTCCCAACAAAGGAGACAATCAGTTAGTCGAAGACAAGGTGTTGCCAGTGGAAGAGGGACAGACACTGTCCCAGAACATTTGAAATGGGCTGTGTGCGATTCCCCATAAGTCAGTAAATAAGTAAATAGGGAGCGTTTCTCAAAAAGTTGGTGCAGCCTTTAAAGGTTAAGTTGAAGTGACTATATAAAGCAGACTGAAGAGTAAAATGTAACAGCTCAGTCGTATTGATGTTGGCATAACTTATTTCAAAAAGAAATATGATTTTTTAATTATTGTTATATTACTCAATCTGCAATCTTTGATTTCCTTAAGCAAATTTGTTTCCAAAAAATGAATTGTGAACAGCTTCTATTCTTTAAATGTAAATAATTTTTTGCATCTTAGGAATTAACCGCATAATGTTTGTTACCCAGTATTCAGTTTGATGTCAAAATTGATGTGCATCACATCATACACTTTATTGTCACTTCATTATAAGGTATTAATGCAAGAACTAGATTTTGTTGGACTTCAGACTGTTTTTTTTTTGTTTTTCCACTTCGCATAGAGTTCAGCCCGAGAGTTCTCAATGTAGAATGTTAGCAATGTTTTTCTTTAGTGTAAGCTAGGTTATAATTTTGAAGACCACATCTTCTGACAATTTCATTTATAGAATTAGACTGCGAGCACTGTAACACTAAGGGTATGATATGTATGCAATGCCATGTAAATAAATGTTCAGAATTTACAGTTCATATATTGGTTCTTTTCATCTGTGCACTCTTTATAAGTAAGTGGGAAGGAAACATTTTACTCCCTTGAGTTTTACACGCATTTACAAACAGTAATAACCAGAGGACCTCAATTGCCGAGTGGGAATTACGGAAAAGCTATGACATACAAGATATTTTCCCTGTCTGAATTAAATTAATACTGAACGTTACAACACCATTGAAAACACGGGAGGAAAAAGCAAATTGTTGAAACAAAAGCAATTTCCAAAGGAGATATAGCGGGAAACGCGGGAAAATTTTGCGTTTTCCTAACTTCACACGAATTTTCTGTACTTGAGAACGCCAGAAAACTAGTAGAAAACGACCGCTAACGCTGGAATACAATCTGTTTTCCATGCCTGAACTTATCAGTGAATGCTGGAAAACGCGAGTTTTCTTGAATTTACTTGAATTCACTGTCACGGAAAATGAAAGAAAACGCAAGAAAACTGCTTGCAAAAGTCGGAATAACGCGCAGTTTTCCTAACGGTAAGCGATCGGTAAACGCTGGAATACATGCGATTTTCCTGGATTCAGCGGTATTCACCGTTTCGGAAAACGCCGGAAAACGTCCGCAAAAGGCAGGATTTCACTCGTTAACTGCGGTGAACTCAAGGTTTTCCCGTCTGAAAACTCAGGGTAAATGCCGGAATACAAGACGTTCAGCGAGTGTTAACCGATCGGTGAACGTCAGCAAACGCATGTTTACCGGCGTTCACTGAATCGGAAAACTGATGGATAATGGAACGAATACTCGAATTAACCGGAGTGAAAACGTTTGGAAAACGAAGGATTTTCCGCTTGGTGAATCTCAGAAAATGCGGGTAAATTGCGCATTCTTCGTTAATTCACCGCGCGTTTTCTCAGTGGGAAAATGCCACTTTTTTTGCCGTGGTAAGTGCAACCACTTAAGTGAATTCCCTAAGTGGACTACTTAAGTGATTTCATGCAACTGACTTAAGTTACGAGTGCACGTACGTGTACCCGTAGTTGTTACGAACGTTTTATGTAACCGGGCCCAGGTTCTGATTTTTTCGCGTCTGGGAAAAAAGAAATCAGAAAAAAAACTTAGGGAGGTGGCACCACTTGGAGCCTATAAACCGGAGCGAGCAACACCCATACCAGGCCTATCAGTCACGGCGCTTTTAGATCTTTTTACGGGTCAGTTTATTTCAAGACACATTTTAGGGCACATTTTTCCTCGAAAATAGAATCTCCACCAAATCTTCGAGCGCATCGAAGCATATAAGATGTAAAAAAGGAAAACTAATCGTTATTAAAATGCAAAAAAATGATCATTTTTAGGTCTGTATAGGTTTTGCAGACTGATTGTCGAATTTAAAAGATATTCAAAATTCGCGCCAAAACCGTTCTAAAAACAAACTAATCCGCGAAAACGCCGTGACGTGAGCGCATGGAAGTTGCTCGCTCCGGGCTATGGGCTCCCGTCACCATGCACTCGAATGGAAGAGAAATTTCGTATCTCCGCGCGACCATGTAATATCCTCTATATATCAAATACCTTGAACCATAGTATTTAAAAAAACGGTCCAGGTCGCTAAATTTTGCAGGCATCGGTAAATTCTCCACATCTCAAAGTTCTACTAACTACTAAGTCATCTTAAAACAGGGCTTTTAAAAATAATAGTACAGAATTTGCGCGGCTAAGTGGGTTTTGAATTAGCATTCTGTCTTGACATGAGTTAAAGAAAATATAAATAAATGCAAATTATTCCTTTAAAGCAAGGGAACGACACGTATGTAAGCGTCGATCAGAGCTTCTTTTATAAGCATGTTTCGGGAAGAATTTCAATTAAAACATTTCAGGCTGTGGCATTTGGTTTGTCGGGACTTCAGTGACTCAAAGGTTTGTGTCTCCAGCATAAAAATTGGCAATTTGACTCACTTTTAATGTTCTTTAATTCACACATTTACAGCTGGATAGATAATTAGTCATGCTCCCGGCTCAAATACAAAGTTTTCGTTTTGCTTTGTGTAATTATAAACTTGTTTAAAACCTTGGTTCTCTGCCATGAAAAATCGGTCAAACTTATTTGATGAGGGAGGAAGAAGGAGACGGTGCCTATTAACCATGGCCATTAGTATCTTACTGCAGCGAACCCCACCTATCTAGTATCTTCTTCCCTATATTAGTCGATACGTTTATTTGCAGTGCGCTTGAAAACCTACCAATCAATCTATACAAATTCAACACCCACACTCATTGCAGGAGAACATTTTTTCAATGATCTAGAATTTTTAAAGTTCGATCGCTCACAGTGATTCGAAATTCGAGGAGAGATATAAAATTGTTGTAACTGTTTGGTCATTTGTTCTCTTGTTCAATATTATAATCAAGACATTCTTTCACCACAAAAGTAACTAAAGGCTGATTTTATTGAGACATTAGGAACTAGATAGAGCTACAGAGTACTGGCCGAGGGACGGAAAGTTTACTGCCTTGGTTGACCATACCGACCCTGTTTTTGTTCAAATGACGAAGTGATAATCATGTTAACAGGGAGATTTGTGTCGTTTTCTTAAACTTAAGTTTACTAACCATGTTTTATTTCATGGCCGGCAATTTAGGAAATGAAGCCGTAATGTTGCTGAAATGATTGCTTTTGTTTCTGTAGTGGCTTCCACTACCAGTATTCATTGCCTATCGCCTCATCGTCCTAGTTTACATTTTTGCATGGCTCATCTACAACATTTGCAGGAGTGGTGGTAAACTTTTCATCTACCTTACAAACTGGACTTTTACTCTGCTAAACGTCTATTTTATTGTGGCAACGGTTCTGTCCTGTATTGCCTTATTCAAAGACGTGAAAAAGAAACGGGGAAAAGAGACATCAGCGTTGGAGATGGCAGAGGAGTCCAGAGACGAAGTTGATGAACCACTTGTGAGCGCACGAGAGAAAGATGCTTTGCAGTGGCAACACAAGTTACTCTGGCTCCTACACATAATCTCATCTACAGGCGGCCTGTTTGTGACGGTGGGGTACTGGACGGTGCTCAAGGGCAATGAAAAAGTCGATGCAAACAACATTACAAAGCATCTGCTAAATTCCGTATTCATGGTTATCGACATGTGGCTAAGCCGCATCCCAGTCCGTCTGATCCATTGCTTCTATGTCTTTCTGTACTTCATTGTGTATATCCTTTTCTCTGTCATTTACTGGCTATTGGGTGGGACCAACGTTGAAGGGAAGCAATACATCTACAAACCATTGAATTACAACCACCTCGAACCGAGAATTGCAGGCCTTTTGGTCCTTTTTCTGCTCGTGGTTTTACCTTTACTGCATTTGTTTTTCTTTGGGCTTACCAAGTTACGAGATCACCTTTATGAAAAGTTCACTGCTAAGAACACATATTATTAGACTTGGTTAACAGCCATTATACTCGGTCGTGAAATTTTGAGATGGAAGAGATGACCGATTTGTACCAGAATCTCTCCTTCCTTTTTGAGAAAATTTTATGAACCTCGAGGGGTTTCAATACGGGGGGGATATACTTTAGGGATTTTTGGGTGGGAATGTGCCGCTGGGATCCTGGAACCCTTAGCCAATACTAGAGCTCGTTCAATGGACTTTTGCTACCCTATACTAGACTAAACTCCGAAAATCACCCCCCCCCCTATCCCAGAGTAGCTGTTTTCCAGAAACTACATCAAAACCGATTTGATTTTTTCATATTTTTGACTGGCAATTCTCGGTTTCCCTAGGCTAGACTAAAATCTTCAACCAATTGATCAGTTTCCTGGAAAATGATACCCTATTCTAGACCTAAACTCTCTGATTTATATACCCTATCCCAGAGTAAACTGCTTTAAAACCATACCCTTCACAGCGGCACATACCTATTTCAATGCCTGGGTCAAAGGTGTGTTCTGAGCATAAGAATGATTGGCAATATATCTCGCTAGGAGACCTAGAACCAAATGAATTTTTTCCGCAAAAGTATATCTTGAGGGTTTCTTGTGCCTTAACTAACGTTTAGAATAAGGGAAATTGGACAACTGGTGGCAAAAATTAAAATTGTTAGGATAAACAAATTGACATGTCTGAAAGAGGATAAACATACCTAGTAACTTTCTACGTTTCAAATGAATGTACGCGAAGTTTGAAATTAAAGTTTTGAATTTAAATTCAAGATTAAATTTGGGTATTTAAAATGATAAATTTCCTTATGATTTTTTTATTGAAGTGCAATGGACGGTCATTCTAAACTGGAAGTGCTAGAAATATTTTATTATGAATTAGAAAAATGTTATTGCTTGATTTCTTTTTTTAAACTGGCCACCGGTTGCTCAATAATTTACGATTTTTAGCTAAATGGTTTCGTGATATACCATAGTGACAAAATATTTATACGTTTTAAAATGTTAAGGACGATGAGTTCTTTATGTGTGCCAAATTTTGATTCATTGCCATTATCTATGCCGAAGTTATAGCCAATAATTCATTTTCCACAGGTAAACCCCTTAGTCCCAGGCCTTAAACCACTTGTAACCATCAGTTGCTATGGTGAAGGTTTTCGAGTCCTGGAATTTGGGGTAGTGTTTATCTATAGCTTGTTTAGACTTTCCTTTCGTCGAAAATCTAAGGGGTGTGGGGAATATCCTAACCACTTTTATGGCGTCAAGGGTGTGGATTTGTATATATGTTCGGCTTAAAGTAGTAGTTTATATGTAAAAAGAAAAGGAAACTGATTTTTTGAGAAACTAAGAATTTGTGCCATGGACAGAATGAGGGGGGCTTGGGGGAAGGCAGGGCATGCGATGGGGATATGACATTTTTCAAAAATTCCCCGTCATATTCCCTGCCCACGGGTAAATCATTCCAGTCAGATGCAGACAAATTTGTTAACTTTGCTGCAATTCAGTCAAAGATACATCAGTTTCTGTTAAAATCTGATACAGCTCTAATTATA